TTGCTTGGCCTCAGCGAATTAAAAAGCAACACACATGATTGTCCCTCCTGTGTCCTTTTGCCGGTCCGTTGCCCAGCTGTTTGTCACTGTCGAAATAATCCAATCCCTTTTCATATAATGGCTTTGAAATTTAAACCCGTTTGCCTCCGGTCGGGCGCGCATGCGAGCTGGAGCAAACTAATCCATCGCCGGACTGCAGGAGTGGGATGAGAAGGAAAGTAGAGGGGGGGGGGGTGACGCAGTCGGCGAGATCTCACACATCTGATCGTCACGGCAGCGAGCAGCCTCTTTACAACAACGAGGATTTGGAATCTTCTGACCAGAGATATAAAATAAAAGGCACGCTCGATCGCGGAATCGGGGCGGATTAATGATCTAGATTTCGGACTCGTTCCCACCGTGCGGCTATGCGTCATGCCCCTTCCACCCGCCTTCGCCCCGGCCTCACGGGCCCGTGCGAGTGCACCGCTCGGACTGCTCTTGTCCCATCGACCATCGTGTGCCATCGGCATCGTCATTGTCTTTGCGACAAAAACGCGATCGGAAGTGCCGACCCGGGGCCGTGCAGGGCCGCGCGGGGGGCGGGGGGAAGGGGAAAGCGGCCCTCCATCTGCATAAACCAGCCGTATGTATGTCTGCTTTTTTTCGCATCCGTAGTCGCCCTGCTGACGGGACGGGAGACATGAGACTTACGCGGCATGGGACACAATAATTTGAGTTTAAAAACTAAGTCTACTTTCACAAAACTTCCGATCAAAGTTTGTTTCCTTCATCCCCGGACGCTTCAAACGCGCACGGTTCCTAGACGCGACCACAGACGGGTGGTCGGAAAGGGAACGAACCCTGGTGTTATGTATGCATAAGCACGGCAAATAGATATTTCAATGCGGCACGGAAGAGCGGGGTTATGGAAGAGAAGGGATAAAAAGAAATAACATCGATATACTGTAAGAAAAAAACGAAAAGAGGGAGCGCGTGGAGTCGCAGCCCGGCCCGCCCTCCCCGCCTCGCTCATCACGGCATTATTCCGCGTGACCGCAATGAATTGGCGCCTTTCATGCGCGCATTTGTTATTTTTTTGCATCGCCGCGGCCGAGCACGAGCAGCGCGCATGCATGCATACTGCATGGAGTGTGTGTGTTCTGTGTGTCACGCCCATTATGGATTTTGCAGAGAGGCCCACGGGGGGAGGGGGTGGGGGGAGTTAAGGCAAGGGCGCAGCGGCAGGGCGAACAATGAAACAATCGATCGCGCCGCCCCGGGCCGCGAGTCGGAGAAGTTTCCAAATAACACTGCACTTGCAGTCGTCCCGCTCGCGAGCCGTGTCCTAATCGCATGCGGTGTCCCTGTCCCGTCCCCCTTTTCTGTGTCTGCGGCGCTGCCCCCCCCGCTGCTCGAGTTTCATTGCCGGAACACGTCTCCCTACTCTCTGACCTACATGATTTGTTTGCCTCTGCCTCTCCGCACAGACCTCAACTACTGCGGGCGACACGAGCCGTGCCTGAACGGCGGGACGTGCGAGAACCCCGCCCCGGACCAGTACCTGTGCACCTGCGGCGAGGGCTTCTCCGGCCCCAACTGCGAGATCGTGGACAACCCCTGCGCCACGCAGCCCTGCGCGCACGGCGGCACCTGCACGGCGCACCCCTACAGCGAGGCGCAGCTGGGGGCGCAGCTGCATGACAGCCCCGGCGGCTACTTCACCTGCAGCTGCGCGCCCGGCTGGGCTGGCGACACCTGCGGCATCAGTGAGTATACATGTATATATATAGTCGTTGTCCAATCCGGCCGCGGCGGGAGTGCGGAGTGGACTCGCGGAGTGGTTATGGAGATTCCCTCGCTGTGCAACTCTTGAGTGGCGTCCGTCGCCGTCGTGCTGGCCTGCCGGGCTTAGGCCAGCCGGACTACATATCTGGGCGCTCCGCGCGGAGCTATTTGGCGTTGAACCTGGGCCTGGCCGCTCATCGCCCCGTCCAAGCGCGAGCAGAGCGCGGCACGCAGGCCGGCCGGTGGGAGTGGCCGCCCCATCGCGCCCGCCGGCCCGCACCTTCCCCTTCCCATTTGGCACAGCCGAGTGCTCGCGGCTCGCATTCCAATCAGCACTACTCACCGAGTGACCCGCCCCATGGCACGTCCTATGGTACGTCCTATGGCCCACCCTATGGCCTGTGGCCCGTCCTGTGGCCCGTCCCATGTTCCGCCCTGTATGGTGGTTATGCCGACCAGCCCTTCCCCCCAATGATCCCCACACGGGATCCTTTTAGCAGGGACGTGACGCGAAATCAAAGACTTTCGCTTATTGCCGTTCACATGCGTTAAAGAAATGAAGCTGATTGAAATTCGTTCGTGGAATTTGAAGATTGGCGAATTTGTCTAGGAAGGACTCGATGGGTGACTTGGACGCGCGAGTAGAGGGCGGTTTATTCAGAGAGAACTTTACTTATTTCAGGAGTTCGGCGGTACACCACGGCTATAGCCAGCGCACTATTTAGGCCAGGTAACGTTCGTGTGCCGAGTGCGTAGTCAGCTGGTTAATTTGTGCGTGAATGTGGTTGTTGTAGTTCGTTGTTGTAGTGTTGTACCTTGCACGCCGTGTGACCTGGCGTATGCCTTCTGTTTTTATTTTCTTTATGACTGCACTTGTAGTTTTGTGTGACTTTTGCATCCCACCCGCACTGTCCTGTGACTTTCGCACGCCTCATACCATTTTATTAGGGAAGTGTGTGAGGCCCAGTAAGAGCGGGGAGTGGAAAGAGGGGGGGGGGCGGTATCACGTCGATCCATTTAATTTCTCTGGAGGGCAGCCTGCTGCTGCCGCTGGTTTCTCTGTCTATAAAAGAAGATGGTGAGAAAAAAGAAGAAGGAGAAGACGAAGAAAAGCCGTCCAGCCCACACATAAACATGTATGCTGCTGCAGCACCAGCACAGATTGAACCAGCAGCGTACGCAGAGCATTAGGAAGGAGCCCATTAGCCTCTCTGGTCGGCTCTCACAAGGGCGACCCCGAGCTTGATCTCTTTATCCGCCCTAAACATTTCCACCAGTTCGCAGAGAAGTTCAACCAACGCCGCCGTGAATCGAGCAAAACGAGCAAAACGTAAAAAAATGAGTAAAGAGGTGGTCGGCCAGGATCGATTATTATCATACAATTTTCGCCCCGCTCCCCTTTTCAAATTGAGAGAGCTTCGCGTGCGGGTAAGGTCTCGCGCGGTAATAACGAAATGCAGCCCAAGCGCCCGCCCCTTTTCCCTCTCCCCGGTTCCCCTCTACAGCTGCCTTGTTGCCGAAAATTAATCGCGCGGTTCTCGCGTGGATCCCCGTGTATCGGACGTATCGATGTAGAGTTTTGTTCACAGTGTGGGAGCTCGGGCCGGGCCGGCGGGGCGGAGCGGGGCGGGGTGGGCAGACTAATAGCAGGCCTCTGGTTCCGATCGAATTAATTGTGCTGGCGATGTGATCCCCGTCAGGATCGGCCCGCCCCACCAGGCCCCGCACGCCACGCCACGCCGCGCCCCGCCACGCCCCGCGTGCTCACGGCTCGACTTGACTGAGCCGCCCTTCGATTCTCATTATCACTGCTGCAGCGCCCCCCGCTTTGCTCCTTCACTGTTGTTGCAAGTCGCGCAGAGCTAGAGCAGGGGGGAAAAGGGGGGGGGGGCAAGGAAGATTAGCACTATCCGATCGCCCCGCCCTCCGGCCCGCCTCCCGCTGCTTCACCTCGACGGGGATTCGGGTCACTCCAGCGGGTACGATGTGTCCCGATCACTCATCCCGATCAGGTGTGGCGACATCGTGTCATATAGTAGGGTGGCTCGTCGTGTAGCTCTCCCTCTGGCGGCTGAGGGCGGCGCTGGGGCCGGTCAAACACTCACGTGGCTCTCAGCCCCGGCTGGGGCGGGCTCCCGTGCTGCCCTCTATCTCTGGAATTAACGAGTTGAGGAACCTTGCTCTCGGTCCGCCTTTAATCTCCCCGAGATCCACCCCACCTCATTAATTGCGTTTTGTACTCCCACGGCGGCGTGCGCGTCGTGACGTCGCTCTCGCCCTCTCGCTCGCACCCACGGTGCCGCGGGGCCCAGGACGGCGATGGCCGGCGCGCGCCCCTCGAGGCGCGGCCGATGCAGGTGATCCGCGCGCCGGGCCGGGCCCCGGGCCCCGCTTGGGGAGGGGGTGGGTGAAAGTCGGGGGGTCCTTCCTCGCTCCAGGCGGGCTCGGCCCGAGCCACAACCTCCCCCGCGGACCACTACACCGTCGCCAAGCCCAAGCGCGCCGGCGGGCTGGTCGAGCAGCCACCGGACAAGACCAGGGAGGCTGGCTGGCCTGTGCGGCGGCGCATCGGGTCAGCCGTAATGAACACTATAATTCTCTCCTTCCCGGCCGGGCCGGCCAGCGAGCTGAACGGAACAGAACGGGTGTTGTGTAGTCCGGCCGGCAGCACCGGCAGGCAGGAGCGCCGGGCGGCTAAGAGCAGCCGGGCGAGATCCGGCAGGTATACTTACTAGGGCTGCCCTCTTCTCTAACGCCAAGCGCCGCGCCAGCCCGTCACAGAGTGGAATTTCCTGCAACGCCCCTCCCTCCCTGCCATGAGCCGGCTGAACGGTTCACTGCCATGGGGTGCACCCCGACCAGCAGCGGGTTGACCAAACTGTGGCGTTCGTTGTTGCAGACGTGGATGAGTGCGCCTCGTCGCCGTGCCTCAACGGCGGCACTTGCGTGGACCTGGTGGCGGGCTTCCGCTGTGACTGCCCGCCCGCCTGGGAGGGCGACACCTGCCAGGACGGTAAGTACGCTAGGGGATGGTGGGCGGGACGAACAGGCAGAGACACTCGCGGGTGCCTTTTTGAGCTCTAGATACTGCATGATGTGAGTTTGTTGTTTGTTTTGTTGTTGTTTTTTGCGTTCGTGTGCTGAGTGTGTGTCGTTTGCCTGCATGCCCGTAGACGCGGACGAGTGCCTGCTCAGCCCCTGCGTCAACGGCGTGGCCTGCACCAACCTGGTCGGGTCGTATCAGTGCCAGTGCCAGCCCGGCTGGGAGGGCGCCAACTGCGACCAGAACATCGACGACTGCGTGGGGCAGTGCCAGCACGGCGCCACCTGCATCGACCTCGTCAACGACTACCACTGCGCCTGCCAGGCCGGCTACACTGGCCGCGACTGCGCCACCGACGTCAACGACTGCGAGTCGTCGCCGTGCCTGCGCGGCGGCGACTGCGTGGACCTGGTGAACGGCTTCCGCTGCATCTGCCCCGTGGGGCTGGCGGGCACGCTGTGCGAGCTGGAGCACGACCACTGCGCGCCCAACCCCTGCCGCAACGGCGCCTCGTGCTCGTCCACGCACAGCGGCTACCACTGCCACTGCCCCGAGCACTGGCAGGGCAAGAACTGCGACCTTCCCCTCGCCCGCCACGGTATGGCCCAAACCTCTCTCTGCTTGGGAACGGAATGAAAAGTGCTTGTCTTTTTGCCCTGCGGTTCCGCTCACGATGTAAGAAAACGGGCCGGTGCTGGTCGACTGCATGGGCCGGCTTGATATCGCTCGTAAATCGCGTGTAAACCCTCCGTGAGTCCTCGTCGCCGTCGTCCGTCGCTGTTGTTGCCGCGAATAAAAACGGCCATTAAGAATTGGTTCATTAAGCATTTTAAGTCGGGCTGGGCCCGGCCCGGCTGCTGCTTGCAAGGTAGATTGGGCCGGATGCAACTTAGTTAGAGGCGCGCGGGGTGAGGCCTTAACGGCGCATAAAAGTGCGGGGTGGGGGGCGGGGACGAGCCGCTGATGCACTGCACCAAGGGAACCAAGGGCCAGGCCCGACCGAGCAGGTTCGGCGGAGACAAACTGCCAGGCGTCAACGCAGCCGGACCGTGGCCCTCTGGCTGGAGCTCGGCCGAGCTCGGCCACCGTATCTACAGGGAGGGCTCCGCGGAGATGAGTGGCTTTGCCCAGCGCCCGGCGCGGCTCAATCAAACAACTGCTCCGCGCTTGACTCGCTGCTGCTGCCGCTGCTGCACCCGGCCCCAGATCCATTCATAAGCCCAGCAAAAGGACGGATTTGAAACATTTTTTGACGCGCGCACGAGTTTCGTTTTCTATTGGGGTGCGGGCGGGGGCTGATTAAGCTTGGGGTCATCATCATCAGGCAGCGCGTGGGAGTCGAATCGGGGGCCGAGCTGAAGCCGAACGCACCAACATTTTTAACTTATTGCCACCCCTTCGTGCTGGGGGCCGGGGCCAGGGCCGGGCCGGGCCGGCGGGCACAGCTGGGGGCGCGGCGGGGCGCGGCGGGGCTCCGCCTGCATGCGGTGCGAGGCGCCCCCCGCGGACCAGCAAATGAGACCATCGGGAGGCCCAGCTTGCCGGCCCCCAAACCCGATGCAGCGGCGAGCGGCTCACACCCAACGTCTCGAGAAACGCGTTCGTATCGCAGTCCTTGTTGGGGCCCCAAGCGCTGCAGAGCTTCTGCGTCGGGCCAAGTGCATAGAGAGGGAGAGGTGGGGAGCGTGTGGGGCGAGGCGTGTTTCAGGGGCCGTTAAGAAAGCCTCCTACTTTACGAGAGCAGCTGGAGAGAGGTGGGGGGACGGGGATGCAGCAGTCACTCACGGAGTAAATAATGTGCTTCGCGATCGCCTGCTTTTCTTTTGTTTGCTTTCTGTTGTGTTTTCGCCCAGTTTTATGAAGGCTCTGCACGCTCCTCGGTAAATCATCGGACGTTTGAGGACTGCATTAATTTCATCAGTTTGTGCGCCACCTTACCTTGGTGCCAGCTTGCCGCATGAGCATGTGTAGTTTCCTCATGAGTCTTCTTCTCCCTCCTTTTCCTGGCGGGCCACGGCCACATAGCGCTTGCTGCACTTCCCTCCGTCCGTGGATACGCCCTGGTGGCTGTGGCAGGTGTCTGGCCGGGGAGTATCGCCAGGTCTGTCCTGTGGGATGCGTGGCGCTAACGTCGCGGCGTCTCTTCTGCTTGCAGCCGCTGCCGTTTCGGACAGCTGCGGCGGGGGCGGCGCTGTGTGCGGGGAGCGCGGCCGCTGCATCTCCACGCCCGCCGGCGGCTACAAGTGCGCCTGCGAGCCCGGCTACACTGGCCGCCACTGCCACGAGAGTGAGTAGCCACCGCAAGCCTCGTATACGTGGTAGTATTGTGTCGAGTCGTCAGATTTTCAACCAACTCCTCTGATTCTCGCCACCAGACATCAACGACTGCAAGCTGAACCCCTGCATGAACGGCGGGACCTGCGTAGACCGAGTCAACTCGTTCCAGTGCATCTGCAAGGAGGGCTGGGACGGCGACACCTGCGCCATCAGTAAGTTGTTTGAGCTGGGCGCGGCGGGCGCGGGCCCCTGCGGCCCGCTGGGGTAGGCCGTCCTGCTCCACGGGCGTGCCGGGCGCGGCTGCCTACCCGCCCCATGGCAGGCGCTAGCTGCCGGGGCGCAGTGCCGCGCGGCCTTGACTGATAATTGCTTCCTCTCCCCTGCAGATCGCAACGACTGCGAGCCCAACCCCTGCCGCAACAACGGCACGTGCTCGGACCGTGTGGCGGACTTTTACTGCTCGTGCCGCGACGGGTGGAAGGGCAAGACGTGCTCGCTGCGGGACTCGCACTGCGACCGGGGCACCTGCCGCAACGGCGGCGCTTGCCGGGACCTGGGCCACACGTACGTGTGCAAGTGCCCGTCCGGCTGGGAGGGCACTGTCTGCCACCTCCCGAAGAACCGCGCGTGCGAGTCCAAGCCCTGCCTGAACGGCGGCACCTGCCTCAACTCGGCCGAGGGCGAGGGCTTCACCTGCGTGTGCCGCGAGGGCTTCGAGGGCGAGCGCTGCCAGCGGGACGTGGACGACTGCAATCCGCCGCCCTGCCTCAACGGCGGGCGCTGCGTGGACGGCGTCAACTGGTTCCGCTGCGAGTGCGCGCGCGGCTTCACCGGCCCGGACTGCCGCATCAACATCAACGAGTGCGCGTCCAACCCCTGCGCTCACGGCGCCACCTGCGAGGACGGCTACGGCCAGTTCCGCTGCATCTGCCCTCCCGGGCGGAAGGGGCTCCGCTGCGAGTTAGGTGAGTGCGCGGCGTACGACCTGCACCCCGCCCGCCGCCACCTCCCAAGTCTAAATGTTCTGTTGCATTGCCTGTTGCAGTGGAGGAGCTGGCCTTCGGGAGCGGCGTTTGCCTCTGGAAGGGCCAGTACCTGGCGCACAACTCGTCGTGGCCCGACGGCTGCAACGTGTGCGAGTGCAACGAGTCCCAGGTGCGCTGCACTCGCATCTGGTGCGGCCTGGACAACTGCCTGGCGCCGCCGCCGCACCTGCAGGCGCAGGTGCCGCCCACCGTACCCTGCGCGCTGGACGAGGTGTGCGTGCCCGCGCCCCGCGAGGTGTGCTTAGGCCCGGGGCCCGGGCAGGCCGCGGGCTCGTGCGCGCCGTGGGGGGACTGCCGCGCCATCGAAGCGGGCAAGCGGGTGGGGCCGCCGCGCCTGCCCGCGCCGCCCGACTGCTGGCCCAACCAGGCCGTGCTGGGCGCGGGGTGCTCGCGACTCACCCTGCTGCTGGACCACGGCCGCCTGGCGGCCGGCCCCGCCGTGAGCGTGGAGGGCCTGTGCCGCCAGCTGCGGAGGCTGCTCGCGCACACGTACGCGGCAGAGGGTGGCGCGCACCGCCAAGACGCGCTCGTACTGCTCTGCGAGCTGCGCACCGGCTCCAACGACACTGTCGAGGTCACCGTGGTGAGTGGCTGCTCTCGTTCATCGCGCTCCGCGCTCCCGCTCCCGCTCTGTGGCGCCCATCCTTACTGGTTTATTGTTGTTGCAGTCCCTGCAGGACCCGCCACACAGTGATGAATATCGTGCCATCTCTGAGGGCATCCGGGTCCTTGGCGAGCTTATAGGCCGGAAGCACTCGAACCTATCCGCACTGGTGGCTGTGCTCGAGGTCAAGGTTGAGACCGCGCTAGTCGCAGAAGAGAAATCAAGTAAGTCGAATGCTCCCGACGGTGCGCGCGGAATATGCCTCATTATCTTTGAAGTCTGATCGGCTAATGTATAAATTTAATTTTAGGTGCAGTTTACAAGATTCTTCTTTTCTCCATTATTGCCATCATTCTTTTTACCCTGTTCGGATGGGGAACGCTACAATATTATCGGCAGAAGCAATTAAATGCTTCATCCCTTGGTTCCCTTGGAGCATTAGGGAGCCTTGGAGGGGGTGACCCTTGTCACTCTCGTAACCACCATGAAGATGAAAAATCGAACAATTTACAAAATGAAGAGAACTTGAGACGCTATGCAAATCCTCTTAAAGAAGAGGCACTAGCAATTGGTGGTAGCCTTGCAAATTTACGAATGTCTTGTCAAGGCAATTTAAAAATGACTGCAGCCAGTGTCAGTGATCTTCAGAATTCGAGGATAAGTGTAGTGCGGCCATTGTCAGCTTCAATAAGTAGCTTATGTGGAGCTGACAGTGCTGAAATGTTAGAAATTCTAACTGAGAAAGATCATAAAAGACATCTGCAGCCTTGTAGCAGTGGAAGTGCTTCTCCACCAAACAAGTTGCAAGTATGTCATCTATCGTATAAGTCGCAATCACCAGATTTGCGCAATAACTCAAATGCTGCAGCTTTAATGCAGAAAGACTTCAATAAGCAGGCAATGAGCCTGAATACAACAAATACATCAAATCAAACATCGTCCCCTGCACCCCAAAGAACGTTCGATCCCTCAGTGTTGACGGTAGTGGTGTAGATACTATACAATGCCCTTGTGGCACCGGATTCTGTGCTATTGTGTGTTAAGTAAATTATTATTGCCATACTGTTTGCAACTTTATTGCAAGTGCCAATGACATTGCCCTTGATATATGGAATATTTTGTGTCTTTTCTCTTGGCATTCAAAAGTGGCCAGCCAAAGTGAAAATCTTGCAAAAAAATCAAAAATCAAAAAAATAATCAGATTGTTTATTGTGATAGTTGCGGTAGTTGGTCATCTTGGACTCAGGTTACCTGAGTAGTTCTTTGATCTCGTGCGACACAGACTGGCCCACAGTAACAGGGCTTTAGAAGCCTTGTTGGCATTAATGTGATTCTCTGTACCAATAACAAGTGTGTGATATTATCTTATATAATTAAATTGCAATATATATTTTAAATGTATAAATAGAGTTTTATTGATCATAAAATTTGTCGATCAGGTGTACAGCAAGACCTTTGTATTTATTTTGTTTCAGTGTACCTATACTAATTGCCGAAGTTAGGGTTTGTGTCTCTGTTTTCATAGCTGAAAATGATCTATCAATCAAGTTAAAGTTCAAATATTTGTTTAGTTAATGTACTGTTTATATTCTATTTTACATTTTCCTGCTAACTATATTCAGATTGTGGCCCTGCTCAGGTAGCATACCAGAGGGTGCTCTGCACCTTTGCGTGCTAGCTGCATTTGTGTTTTAAAAATGCACCTTGATTTGTGAGGTAGATGCGCTAGTTGGTTTGCTGCCTGGGTGTATTGTCACTTGAGATAATGTTTAAATGTTAATTGAAACTCCACTTCCTTTTTAATTTTTTAACTTCTAAAAAAATCCGAATTTGCACCCCAGTGTATCAATGTGTTATTGGATATATCAGTGCTATCGTAACTCCCTGGTAGAGTATACAGGGAAAGAGAGTGGAAGCCCTCTTACCACTCAAACACTTGCCCTCTTTCATGCAACATAAAAAATTGTCTTGTTCTCTTAATAATTGGAAACGGACTTTATACTTGACTTGTTTTTCTTCCTCAAAACTGAAAGTTAGAAAGGGGAGGGGCGGCAGGGGGTGGGCTAGCCACCCTTTGTCGTGGTGGTGTTGTGTCTCCTAGCGATCCTTCCCCGG